ATACCTCATTCCACTGATGTTACCATCATATACACGCAGACGTCCCCCCCCCTCCCTCGGTTTACAGTGTCACTTTATATTTGAGATTATGTGGAGTTTGACAAACTAATTAACATGCTGTACAGAAACAGAACTCTACTTCTTTTCTTTTTTCTTTTTCTTTTTTTTTCTTTTTGTTGTTTTTGTTTTGTTCGGTTTTGCTCAGATTTTCTGCACAGTCCCCACAGAGTGGAGAGGAACACATGCACTCAGCCTGACCAAGTTGCACAATTTCAAATAATGTCATGCTGTTTTGTTACCAAATGAAAATGTTTTACCTCTGATCATTAAGGCACATTATTGTCGTGATATTGTCACATGACGTTTGTTTTTCTACATCCAAAACTAAAGTGTTCTTGTTCTCCCTATGCCTTTTTGTTTTTCCATGTAAAAGATACTGCTGCATAGACATTTGCTGTTCAGGTTATGTTATGTTTTAGCCCTCTTACACCTACCCTCAACTCGCTCTTCAAAAATGCCTCACAAATCTAAAGGGTCTTCCTCTTGATACCCTGTGTCTTCGATTACAGTTGGACACACAGCTACGTGAAAGGTTTGCCTTTTGATTTTTTTTTTCCTTAATGAGTCCAGTTCAGTCATGCTAGAGCCAGGAGGAGGAGAGGGAGGCACCAGAGGATCTCCGCGCATAGAAGTGGCCTTCTCGCAGCAGCACCGCCAGTTAAAAGGGAGGAAGAGTTCAGGCTCTTGTTAATTTAAGAATGTAGTATTTTCCCTGTTTGAGGTAGTGAAAGCTGGTCCATGCAATACTTTTTAATCGTCCTTACCAATCTCACACAAGCCTTTTTTTTTCCCTCTGCGTACTTGATATGAAAAAAAAAAATCTGAATCAGACTGAAGTGCCTCCTTGTTAGCATGAGCTCTCAGACAATGCCCACACAAATATCAGCACTTTGTTTATTCTCTGACTGTCACGCTCTGTTTGCTTCGCTGGGGGAACGTGTCAACACCGATACACACAAACTCACATGGTTTGTTGGAAGTGAAGGGAAGGAGGAGCAAAAGGATGGAGAGGAGGGAATCAATGAGGGAATTTTCCTTCTTAAATGTGATATACAGCAAAGTGCTGAGTGCATGTGAAAGCCAAACCCACTGTGTCCTTCAAGTCCCAATAAACTCTGTATTATAGTTTGAGTACTCTACAGTTTGTCTATTTATTTCCCTGCCTGCTCTGTGTTGGTTGCAAAGACTTTATCTTTTTGTGATATATACTGCATTAGTACTTTACTATGCTGTAAGAATGTTGTCATTTAGGGCACCAGTGTCAAATATAAGGCCAGGGGTCAGAATCAGCCAGGCGAAGACTCCAAACCTGGTCAACTGGACACTTCTGGAAAGTAGTGCATAGATTTTTAACTTTTATAGCTTTAGTGCGTCACTGATTAAGACTGCCCAGCGCAGTAATTAACTAACAGGTAAACAATCAAATACTGGGAAAGTTCTTGTTTTTTCTTCCACTATTTGTGAGTCTACAGTAAATTAACAAAAACTGTTTATATTAAATATAATAAAGACTGTAATTTTATGCTTTCATTATGTAGTTTCAATGGTCTGGCCCCCCTTAAGATAAAAGCAGCTGTATGAGCTTGACAACCCTGATTGAGGTTTGTTTTTAATGTTTCCTTTACAAACAGATGATCTGCAATATTGCATTCCCATAGTGTAATATTTTACAGGCAAATAAATGCAGCAAATCATTGTGCAGTAACTAAGTTCTCATAGGCCATGTAGATGTTTAAATGTGAGTACAAAATGAAGGGGCAAAATGTGTAAAAATATATTTTGTAAACCATTATGAGGCCTCATCCATAGCCAGAGTTTGTGTTTTTAAGTGCGTACATTGTGTTAATATCACTTTATCATAGCTTCTGTCCTTGTGGATGCCTCCATTTTCCACTATGGAGGCATTCTGGCTCAATCTTTAAAGCATTGCTTCAGTTCATTGAGGTTTGCAGGCAACTGTTTATGCACAGCTCTCTTGAGATCTCAGTAGGTAGAGTGGTCGGGGTTTGAATCCACTGAACGGCTACCCTGAGGTACCCCTGAGCAAGGTACCGTCCCTACACACTACGGTGTTCTTCCCTCTGAAAAAACAAGACAAAAGCATACTTGTTTAATCTTCCTCTAATTGTACTGTAATAAACTTTTTAACATGCTTACTCAGGACTGCAGAGTCTTAGATGTAGCCTTGTAACATACTTTGTGATACCCAGCTAATCAAGTTTATTGATTTGTAGCACCTGGCTGTTACTTTCCCTCTTAATTTGTATAGAAGCACTAAGTAAGTAAGGTTTATTTATATGACAGTTTTGAAGAACAAAATTCAAGTTAAAATAGCATAAAGTAAACTAAATAAAAGCAAGTAATAATGATAAACAATGTTCTATGAAAACTTTATTTTTTCCAAGACTATTAGGGGAATAACTGTACATCCAGTACATGTCACATATTTACGTTATTCACCACTTTGGTCCTGATTTTATTCACAAAAACAGACATTTAATGCTGGAGGTTGAGTAATGAGCACAACATCTTTTCACATAGCCTTTTATGTATCTCACATACCTTTATTTATGCAGAAGTATTCAATCCATATGATATGAAAGTTAAAGAAAAGGAAGAAAAAATTGTCCTATAGTGTCAAGTCAAACAAATGTTGAGGATATTAAGCCGAAATGTTAAAACTCCATTACATCTCATCAGTTAGTAATGACTCCCTGTTCCAGGATCAAAAGCTAGAGCACTGGGGCGATCGTGGCAGTTGGCAGTTTGTCTTGTAATCGGAAGGTTGCCGGTTTGAGCCCCGGCTCGGACAGTCTTGGTCGTTGTGTCCTTGGGCAAGACACTTCACCTGTTGCCTACTGGTGGTGGTCAGAGGGCCCGGTGGCACCAGTGTCTGGCAGCCTCGCCTCTGTCAGGGCAGCTGTGGCTACAATGTAGCTTGCCATCACCAGTGTGTGAATGACTGAATGTAGTGTAAAGCTCTTTGGGGTCCTTAGGGGCTAAGTAAGGCGCTATACAAATACAGGCCATTTACCATTTCACTTACAGAAATGTACCTTCTTTTAAGATATAGAGTCTGACCCCTTAACCTTTACCAGCCTAGAATCTACACTGTGTCCACTGTGGCTCAGAAATGGTTAAGACACTAGGAGCGTGTGTTCACCCTGCAGAAGGCCAAAGGGACTGATAGATGATTCCTGTCATCAAGCCAGAGGGACATAAGGTTGTAGGTTAAGGCAATCGCTCTTTTTTGGTAATTTATTTATTTGATAGTGGGGATTTTTTTAGGGTTTTTTTTCTGCATGCATTCCTGTTCACTAATCAGATGACCTACAACTCACTTGACAGCTTTCTGTTCCCGTGACTCTGAGCACTTGCTTGACGTGCAGGGCCCACTGAGGCAATATTTCTGTTAGATATAGCCAGGGTTTTTCTAGGAAGAAGCAAGCAAGGTTCACAAAACATGTGAGCAGCTTGATAAAATATGTTTTTCACAGATGGTGGTGCAGCATCTGATGATAAACCAAGCCTTCAGGAAGAACTTTCAAGAAAAGTGTGATGTAATGGGCAGGCGGCAAAAGATTCATAGTGAAGTTTGGTTGCTTGCATTCAAAATTTTATTACTCTCTTATTATTGTTTAATCCTAAAGTATATAAAGTCAGTTTTCCTAGTATAAGGAACGCTTCTGTACGTCTGTTTTGTGTGAGCTGTTGTCAGTATATCATCCGTGGTAAATACTGTAAATGTAAAAAAGATGTTTAAGGATGTTCAGTTCTCAGCAGCAAATTGTTATTCATACTTCCTGTCAGTTTGCACTTGAACAAAACAAAACATTTTGACTCTCTCCCTGTTTCTTCACAGTCAAAACACTCAGAATATGCATTTTTGGCAGAATCACCCACAGTTACGTACTTCCTTCGACCTTAGGGTTACTTTCTGCTCCGGATAACTACAGCTCAGTGCATAGATGTGCTTTTAGCGCTTGCTTTTTATACATATTGTTGCAAAATCAACCATTTTTGTTCTTAAGAGTTGCTTTTTTTTTTTAACCTTTTGCCCTAATGTAAATAAAAATTCCCAAAGGAAAATAATTTAATATGTAATGTAGCGTGTGAAGAAACACAGGGCCGTGGCCTGTGCATCTTCATTTTATTTGCTCACTGATAAGGAGCAATGCTGCCCCACATGGTGACATAGCTAAATGTGGGATAAACATTTTCTGTAGAAAAAATATGCAACAATAAATCCTAAAAACCTTAAAAAGATTCTCAGCAATACCCACTGAGATAGTTTATGAAAATCCACCCTATTTATCCATAGCTGAAACCTTTGCAGTTAAGGTCTCTGAGACTTCAAACACGAGCAAAACCCTTTACAGCAGATGTCTTACGAACATTGTCCATTTAAAGCTATCTTCAAACACATTTTGTTGTTGTTTTTGTTAAAGGGAGCCCAAAGTCTCCAAGCACAACATTAAAGTTAATGTCTGATCATTTCACTCAGTTATATTTCCAAGTACCATTCAGGGTTCGGTCATACTGGGAGAAGAAACAAGCCAAACTGAATGGAAAATTTTTGCCCTCAAATTCCAGAGAGTGTTTAGCATGTAATGGGCCATGAAGGGATGCATGAGTCACTCAGGGTCTCTCGCACTGACCTCTCTTTTGGGTGTTTTCATTGCTGACGAAAGGCTGTATTTTCCCAGTGTCACCCACAGATATACTAATGTTTGCGTCTGCTTAAGTGAGCGAGGAGGAGGCCCGGACGCTGGACACAATCCCACAGAGTGTTTGTGAGAGTGTGGGGCATTCTTGTTGCGTGCACGATGCAACCTTGGTGGCATGGCCGTTTGTACAGTGAAATGTGTGTGTGTTTATCTACACAGTGATAGCAAGGCGGCCTTGTGGGCAGTGCTCCTATATATATGGACCCAGGAGCTGGGCCATTTAGAACATTCACAGCTCAAAGAGAGTTTGAATCTCTGCAATCTTTTTGCCTTTATACAGTTTTTTCTCAGCGCTCTTCGAAACTGAAAATGCTGCCTGCTACTTTTAAACTGTGTGCTGGCATCTCCTATCGGCACATGAGGAATATGACATGTGAGTGAACGAATCCACAAATTCATCCACAAATTCCAAGTTGCAGTCTACATGCCAGCCTGATGAGTAAAGAAAAAATGAAGACAGATGTTGTTCGATAATCCTTCTGGAAGTTCTGGTACAGTGACGGAGTATTTTCTGTCTGCGCTTTCCAGGTTTGAGGAAGAATGCCATGGTGGCCATTCATCATGAGCTGTACAGGCTGGCAGGTCCGGGCCCCAGTAACTGGATCAGCCAAGTCCACCGTCGAAGCTCTCTTCTCAGTGAGTTGTTGTGATTGTTTCAGTCACTGTAATGCAAAAAGAAAAAGTCATGCATGATCAGATTTTTTTAATCATAGAATAAGACATAAACAAGTATAATTTGGATAATTGCAATTTGGTTTTAAGGTTCTCAGATTCAAGAAAACAGTTACAATGAGGAGGAGATGTCTTATTTGAAACAAGGTGAAGATGCACTGCAAAAGGCCATCAGAATCCTCAGCGAGCAGGACGGCTGGACCACTGAAACTGTTGCTGTGCGTGCATACATTATTGGCATCAAAGTCAAGTGTTTTTGTATTAGCTCGGCTATAAAACTTCACATTTTAACACTTCTCGTCCCCATTCCCTCTCTTCTGCAGGCGAATGGAGACAAGGTCCTGAGCAAAGTGCTACCTGATGTCGGGAAGGTGTTCAAGCTAGAAGTGATGCTGGAGCAACATCCTGATGATCTTTACAAAGAGCTAGTTGGAAATATGGAGCGAATGGGGGAGTGGAACCCAAATGTGAAAGAAGTCAAAGTAAGAAAGTTGAAAAATTAATGGTTATTGCTTCTTTTATTCTGTTATTTTAAAAGCGTACACTTACAACATGTTACACAAATATATCCAGAAATGTTAATTAATGATGCTTTACTTCGGAATTCTCCAGATTCTCCAAAAGATCGGCCAGGACACGATGATCACCCATGAGGTATCCGCGGAGACCCCCGGCAATGTGGTGGGACCCAGGGACTTTGTCAGTGTCCGATGTGCCAAGCGGCGAGGCTCCACCTGCTTCCTGGCAGGAATGTCCACTCAGCACCCAAAAATGCCTGAGCAGAGGGGTGTTGTCAGGTAAGCAATGGGGAGCCATCAGTCCGAGGCATTACTTTATGGATGCACAGACCATTTGCATGCAGATTATTTTAAAGTGACACTGTCCGTTAATCATTACATTTCTCAGAGCGGAAAACGGGCCAACCTGCATAGTTATGAAGCCCTGCGCTGAAGACCCAAATAAGACCAAATTCACCTGGTTACTAAGTATAGATCTAAAGGTATGAATGATCAAGTTTGCATCTTCCCTTTCACTGGTATTAGATTTGTGTAAAAGCGTCATTTGATTCAAACTGACACTGGTTTTGTCTCTGTTATTGGCAGGGCTGGATCCCAAAGACAATCATAAACAAAGTGCTCGCTCAGACGCAGGTGGACTTTGCCAGCCACCTCAGGCAAAGGATGGCTAACAATGTTTCCGTGGAGATGTCTCCTGCCTGGTGACACTGGATGTCTATTGAGCTTTGGCACCAGAGACGTGGCAGAAAAGTAGCCTCTGCTCATTTACAAAAGAAAAAACCCAAAACAAAACTCATATTTGTCTGCTTAAACTGCTGCAGTCGGTAAATGTGTGTTTTTCTTTCCCTAAAAAATAGAAAATCTGCCATGATTGTCTCTAACACCAGTCTTACAGACTGTGTGCTTTGCCGCCTTTGGCTTTTAGTGTCTCAGGTCCCTGTTTGGGTGTTTTAAAACAACTAGGCTAAAATCAGAGAGAGATCTTCAGAGAGATTCAGTCTCAAACAAGTGCCCTGTAAATCTAATGCTACTGATTAAAGGCAGGCGACAGTTATATAATAAAATTGTGGGTTTTTTAGAGCACATAATAACACCTTTAAGAGTTCTGATCACAAAGTGAACACTAAACTGCAAAGTGAAGAGAAACTGAATGCCATTTAAAATGTATATCCAGCACCACTATAAACTGCAATGTTGGGTTTGTGGATTACTGATCTTTAGAGTCTGGGTTGGACCTTTCACCTGTGGCTCCAGGTGAAAGGTCTACAACCCCAGGGAATTTGTGCCTCTTCCCAGGATCGTTTGCTTGTTAGATTAATCTTAATATTAATATACAGGCTATACAACATTGGATGTGCCACAGCTATCTTAACTGAAGAGCCATTTGACTGCTAACAACAGCAACTGAACTTAACAAGAAGCTTATGGTCCAAATCCGATTATGAAGTGAAATGTAACACATGCAAAGATTAAAATCTCCACTTCTCCAGTTAGTGGATTTTGGCTCCGGTGTTGTTCACTCCTTGTTGTTTTCTTTTCTAAATTTGATCAGGCCAAGCTTGGAGAATTTATCTGTTAAATTTGAAAAGTCATAGAGATTGGAATTCTCTTTTGGGAAAACACGATTTAGTCATTTCCCCTTGAACAGAATGTTTTAAGTCTGATTCAGGTACTCATCAGAAAGCATGTAAAAAAATGAATATTAAAACAATTTAAAACTGTAAAAGCAAATAGAAAAATAATAATCATGTCGCAATTTCACTGGCCTCAACGACTCCCCGTCCTGGTAAGACCTTCGGCAAAAGTCAGTGTATGCTTTCTGACATATTCATACATCATCATCATCATCCCACTTTGGCAGAAAACAGTCATTTATTGCCCCTGCCTCTGCTGCGAAATAGCACTGTTGTTTCATTGTTTTATTTATTAATATTTTGCAGATGTATTTGGCTATGAGCTATTGTAACATAAAGCGGTGTTGAATAAATGACAGCAGCATCATTAGTGTGTGTGTGTGTTTTTGTGCTTTTTATTATGCTGTTGATGAATGATTTCTCTGCTCTTTCCTGTTGGGGAAAAAACAGATAACATTAAACACTTTAAGTGCCATTTACTTGACTTTTTTATTTGATCACAGAGATTTTTAGAAAATGACAGAAATTCAAATCCCAGTGACGGAAAAAACACACACAAGTAAAACACCAAGCTCAACAGGAAACTAAAACTCATCTTTTAAATAGCACAGCAATAATGATAAGAATTATTCCTCTTTGATGGGGAGGCGATGGATGGATTTAGAGGCTCTTTTTAAACCCGTGATGAATGTAGCTCATGAAAAATGTCTTCCTATCCCTTGATGAGTTTTCAGGCTGAGCGTTTGCCAGAACGAGCAGGTGTTTGGCCACTCTGAAATGTAAGGAGTCCAGCAGCTAGCAGTCCTATGCGAGCCAGCAGCACATTCCCCAAGATCAAGTAACAGTGGATTTCAGCCCAAACAGGAAATCTCTCCTCCATTACTGCCAGTTGTGTAACATTCTGCCTATTCTGTGTAGTTTTAGTTGATCCAAAATGTTTTGTAACTGCTCATTTTCTTGGCAGGGCAGATAGCAGGGATCTGGATTAGTTTAATTGCAGAGTATAGGTCTGACTTCCATTTCTAATAATAAATATATTAACCTGTGCTACTCGGGATGATGCGGTTATGTCATGCCATTAAAGCCTTAGTCTAGAGTGTGAGGTCAAATGGGAGCCATTTTCCAATTCCCCCATAGGGCTTTTTGAGAAATCCGGGGGTCCAGTTTGGTTGCATATAACTGCATGCACTTAAAATTTTAAAGCATAGCATCCCCAAGTGCAGCTTGTTTAACGCATACCAAAGGATGTTCCGGGGGTAAAGACTGACATCTGTTTGAAAACAGTAAATTGCTCAAAATGCTAGAGTAAGTAGATGTAATGTGAGTTGTAGCCATTTAGAGATAGTCTTTCATTAAAACGAAAAAATTCTTGGATTCTTGGATTGGAAAGAGGAAATTATCCAGTGCAGATAAGCTGTGTAACCAGGAAGACTAAAAAAAGAAAAAAATATCTCCTTGGCACTGACAGCCTTGATTTTTTTTTCAAACCCATTTCCATCTGTGTGCCCTCGTATGGTCTAAATTGAAGTCTGAATTTTAGGCGCATTCTTTCAGCTTATAGAAAGGGAGAAAGTGCCAAGTCAAAAGTAAATTAGAATTTTTCAGAACCTTATTTTATTATTTCTGTTTTCGTTTTTCCTTTTTATTTCTTTTCGGAATAGATTTTTATTTTTATTTTTTATTACATATTGAGCAAGAAAAAGGAGCGAGAATCAAAGGTAACGGAAGGCGTCTCGATCTCCCACAGCTCCTGTATACCTGAGCTCGAGAATGCGATGACGTAATGAAGATAGAGTCGGACAGGAAACCACAATTCCCAAGATGCACTCGAAATTACCGTGGCCACTGGACGGGGGAAGGGAAGCTGAGATTGGAGGGAGAAACAATCATAAACTGAGGTACTTTTAAAATGCTTCATATCACGTAATATTTTTAGACAGGCCGCGGGACGCAATGTTTCTGCTGCATTTGCAGGAACTTTGAGACAAAAGCAGATTTATTCGCGTGTTGCTGTTGGATTTGGGGACAGACCCCCCCCTCCATCCCTGTTACAGTTCAGCAGAGCTACAGCTAGCCCGTTAGTTAGCCTGGCAGCTGGCTTTTCGTGTATCAAAACCTAACTAGGACTGGAGTCCTTAAATGCAGGTGATTGTTTTATATACGAATTAAAATGTTGTGGTGTTTGCCGTAAATTTCGGCGGACTTGCATGCAGTATATGCGCCGTGGCATTCTCCGTTTGAGGTGAAGCTGTAGCTGCGTCTTTGTGCCTGCGGGGTTGCTAGCTGACATAATGCTAGCTTTTCGGTTGCTAGAGATAATGGTAGCTGTCAGAGCGGCGGAGCGTTACTGTAGGCAGCTGTCACCTCACTAAGCTGAACTTATTCGCTAGTTTTTTGTTTTGTTTTTGTCGCGGCTGTGTGCTTGATTTCTGTAGTGCTATCCTTTTATTTTAAAATTGCTGTGATTTTTTTTTTTAAAAAACGGATGGGAAAGTGTGCAGAGCTTTTGCTTTAGTAAAAGTAGCAATATTACGCTGTAAAAAAGAAAAGAAAAAGAAAGAAGGAAAAAAGAAAAGAAAAAACGCTGACTAGTTATGCATTGAAAATGTTCTTGAGATATAAGTATGAAAACCAGTGCTTGGGAGGAGGTATTTGTTTTACACCACGCAATATACTCTGACCCTCCCACACAGAGACAACATGGGTGAAGAAACAGGGTCTTCAGTTCAGGTATTAGATTTTTTTTTTTTCACAGCAAAATAATTTGGCCCATCCTAACAGGTAAACGCATAAGGGAACTATTTTTGTTCCAGGTGTTGTGATGTATTGTGACTTAAAGGATACGTGATGAACCTTTGCTTGTTTTATCATTTTTGATATGATGAGCCAAACGTGCTGGAAAGAACCCATAATTCTGTGTCTTTGTCACCTGTTGGTTGGTTTTTCTGTTACTTTTGTGTAGCCATTTATTAACTTTGCATTTTTAAACCACTGCCTTTCACACAGTGTCTCCTGCCATACAACAACTCTTCATGACCCCACATCTCGTTGCACAGCTGGAGTTCGGATGTTTGATGCCATTTCACGTGAGGCCAGAGACGTAGGGCTGCTTCGGTGCTTGTGAATACTGCCTGGGATACTTTGGATTTATCTTAAGTGCCAAAGTGATGAAGTGTCTCGGACAGGGAGAGCCCAGCCCTGAACAGGAATGTCATTATTCAGGTTTCGGGCACCTCTGGAGGGGCTAAAGAGAGCAGGGCTGGTCAGTGGTGGAGAGAAAAGAGGCAGGTTTCCAGGCAACTTGTGTATTGATGGGTAGCCATTTCCTCCAGTCAGCTCTCGTGGACTGATATCTGTAGATTCCTGTCAGCATCCATACTCGTGGTTAGACTGGCATTGAAAACCACACAACTATTGCTCTTGCGTGAATATGATGTTCAAACAACACTTTTTTTTCCTGCCGGCGACAACTTTCTAAAATCGACCCGGTGACTGTGGATGTCGTGTTGTCTACATATATGAGGGGAAAATGATAAACGCATAGATACTTGCAGTAGCTACAAGTGTGTGCAGCTGAAGCCATGGTGGCCCTTGCATCAACTCATCAGCCAATCTCAGTTTATGACTTCAGAAGTCTTTAGAGGCCAGGATCAGAAACAAGTTCAGCAGACAACGCGCTCACATGCAATGGAAGAAGACATTGATGTCGCCTCCCGCATTGAGGTAACCTTATTTGACCTTTGTTTTAATCTCATTCCAGTGTTTAGATTTACAGGAACTTAAAACCATTAAAACCGAAAGCAGCACCTGCCGTGTTGTTCAACAAAACAGAAGTACTGCCGTCTGACCATTGTTGCTACGGAGATTTTTATTGTTCTCAGAGGAATCATTTTTCCCTTCCTGCCCTGCACTTTTGTTTAATGTCACATGATGTGCTTTAAGTCCTTATGTCTTATGTGTTTAACCTAAGGTCTAAGGCCAAGGTCCTTTCTGTTATCAGTGGCAGCTGACAGCGCATTTCCTTTATCCCCAGCTTGGTTTCCTAGCCAAAACATTACCTCTAACTCCCTGGCCTCTTTGCTGTCCTTGTGTACAGTTTCATTTGTAAACAGTTGGATCAGTAAGTGTGTTTGCAATTTCGGTGCAACCTAAGTCAGGTTATGACCATTTTCCCCAGTGGATGTGCACCCTTAAATTATTTTCATAGTTTTTAAGCATAAGTGTGCCACACACAAGAAGCATCCCAGTAAAAGTGGCATGTTTCCAAGCAGGCCACTTTCAAAAGAATACCTGTTATTTAATTTGGCCTGTTATACTAAATATTTCACTGTTTAATTTTTTTTTTTTTTTTATCATATGTGTATTAGTTTTCAGGAATTGCATATGGCCTCCAGTAATAACGTGTTGCTCTGTCATGGAGGGGGTGAATGCTGCACTGTTTTTACATTGTGTTTTTCTGATACACCTGTTCTGTGCTGCTGCTGCTCTGCTGTTAGGGTCTGAATGGTTTGTCTCGTGAATGTAAACCATTAGAGGAGATAACCAATGGACACTCCAATCATAAGCCTGTGAGTACACTTAAAAATCACTTCTCATTGATTCATTCTCATTAGATTTTGCTCGTGTAGTGTCCTTTAAAAAAAAAAATATCTACATATTGTCTTTTTTTCTTTTCTTTTTTTGCTTTATAGATCATGAATGGACTGGTTATTGGTCATAATGTCAAAGACCACACCAATGGCAGCGCACCACTCAGATCTCTGCCGGTAATTAAAGCCTATTGTTACTGTCTGACTTCAAACAGCACACCACTTCCTTGAATTTAATGTCTCCAAATATTTTATTTTCCAGATTTCAGCATTAAAACAGAATGGTCTTCTGCAAACCCTGGCAGCTGGAGACCAGCCCAAGCCTGAAGGTAACACGAACAACCTTGATTTTTGTCTCACATCCTCTTCTCGTGTGTGTGTGTGTGTGTGTGTGTGTCCTAGATACAGAGCAATTATTGCAGGTAATACCTGACCCAGGAGTTAAGGTTGCCTGGTTTTAGGAAGCACAGGTGGCACCCTGGAGGGTGCAGGTCTGTTAGACAAGAAGGATTCATGACAAGGGAGTGACTGGGTGGATGTCACCATAGCAAAATAGCTCACCCTGTTGGAGTGCTAGGTTAAAGCTGTGAACCAAATGAAGCTGTTTGTTGAATTAGCACGTTTTCTTTCTTCAACTTTGTTTTCTTTACAGATGATAAGGAAAATGTGGAGTTGGAAAAGGCCAGGCAGGAGTGGGAGGCTCTAGAGCACACCCAGCCAGGTCAGATAAATCTTGCTGTTTGTAGGAGAATGATAATGACTTTGCTGATTTTTGGTC